TATTTGGCACCAGTCGTATGCAAACTCCGTTATTCTCTCAATTCACATATTCATTCAATGGGACTAATTAAGAACATACCATTAACTGATGTTGAGCGTGATGTGAGGTCAATCAGAAATGCGTTGCGGATGTCTTAGAGTTAAAGAGAAAGCGGCCGTTGCTCAAATGTTCTGCTGTACTTTAGCGGCATCATATAATGTTGGCCATTGAGATAGTGGAAGGTTGGTTTGAGACATCCTAGCCTGGACCAAGGTAAGTAAGAAAGCTATGCGGTAGTCTAGTACCGCTGAAATACGCTCAAAAGTTGCCTGCCGACGCTAAAACCGGTGTATGAACAATGAGCAACGATGTTATACGGGTTACCAAGCAGTGCTTTACCTGCCATGTTGGGCAGTCTGGTGGGGTATGGAAAAACGTTAATGAACAAATGGTTTTTAGCCCTACTGACAAAAGAATGGACTTGTCGTATGTACTGTAGTAGCCCTGCACGAAAAGTACTTCCTTAGTTTCAATAAGCGAATAAAATAAGGCTGAGGTATTTCCTGGTATTTGGATGGAGAGTAGCGTCAAGTAACCAAATGTAAGTGGTGGAGTACGTCATCCAACCGACTTTTACATAAGGCTAGCGCGACTTTAGAAACAACCGATCCGGGGAGGTCATTCCATGGCTGGTACACATGAATTGAAAAGAAATTTTTACGGCAAGCCAGACGGCTGTACTTTTGTGCTTATTTCAAGGAGTGGCCTCTAAGTCTTGTGATGCTGCTGGATGTCAGTAAAGAGCGGCACACGTGATTTGGTAGGTCTAAAATAAACTTCCCCATAAGCAAGATTTAATGACTGGCTCTTCTCAAGTACCCTTTCATGTACTGGTGCAATGTTTTGAAGTGGTGCTCCGGACGAGGTGGTCTACTTAGCGGTTAGCCCCAATAAAACCGATCTTCGTTTTTAAGGCGCCCCTGCACTCATCAGTGTTATGGGCAGCCCCCAGACACATAATGATGCGCCGTCTCGAGGCGGCGAATATAAGGAGGAAAGCTCCATGGCAAAGCTACCTTCAGTACTTTGATGAAAAACATCGAACAATCCATGGACAAGTTGCGATTGCGAAAACCGGTTTAAATGAACCAGCGGCTCTGGATATGTATGAGAGGTGACTCCAAACAATACAAGCACCATTCGTTTTGCATGCCATTATTAAAGACAGTAGAGTGGTGCAAGCTACTAGTGGACATGAGTTCGATCCCCAACAATGGGACGAGGGAAAGCGCACCCCTGACAAGCCTCAATGGAGCCGAACGATCGACTGGTGATTTGCCAAATTGCTAACCCATCTTTACTGCGATGAACCGAATATAACCATACCCAAATCTATCTACACAGTAGTGACTTTTGAGTTCATTTTAGTGAATCTTGAAAGACAGTGAGTCTAATTGGCTGAGAGACTATCCCAAATTTTGTGGCATCCCTGAGAGATGAGTATACGGCACTGTTACGGTTCACTCTATTCTATGCCGTGACAAATCTAATGATGATGCCTGCCATGAGCAGGATGGTTCAGTTGCCAATATTTCGGTAACCGCTGTGTACGAAAGTTAGTTGCTTTTCGGGCTTGTTCCAGTTTTAAGAAGTATGTCTTTTCTCATACATTCGTGGAATTTGCCAAAGTGCCTTCTCTAATGTGTAGAGCTCACTGGTCTTAGTCCAGCCATGGACAGGTATTCCCGCTTCACTAATGTTTTGACAAGCAAATAGATACACGTGTACAAGAATCATGGAGGTCATATTGCAATGTTTCCTACAATCAAAGCCTCAAAGGCCATCAGGTCGCTTGGATCACAGAAGGGTAATTTATCAAGTAACTGTGGCCAGGACAAAAGTAGACTTGCTACCCAAGATGCAGTTTTGCTATAGGTGTAAGCCCAATTCCTTCTTATTCATGTGTCGTAAACTACATCAACGAACGTATCTAAGACAGTGAGTAGAAATTCAGTGAGAAACCCTTCGTCATAAGAGTTTACCAGTTCAGTTGCTAACATAGTCTCAAGTAACAGGATAACATGTAAAACATTCAAGGGAATTGTCAGGCATTAAAAAGAATCGCACTCATTGTTGGCATGAGGAAGGTGACGACTTACCCCCGACTTCCAAGATTACCTAGCATGTCTGAGGCAAAAGGTAGCTATTGTTAGAGCAAAAGCTTAGTCTGAAATAGGAGCTTCTTAAGTTCACTAGCTCTGAAGTTTATGTTGCGCATGTATCATCCAATGATCGACGGAATAAAAGAACGATCCGCAGCGACGCACACAAGTGCGGTTCACGTGAGCAATTCACTTTCACTATTGTAACGGGACCTGAGATCTTACTGTCAATTGTGTGCACCTATCGGCGTAGCACCTTAGCCCTTGCCAACTCCCATCCACGTGCTGCTAAGTTAACATGTTTCGAAATGTTTCAAAATAAATCACAGAAGCCTCGGCAGTTTGTCTTGGAGGAAAGAGCATTCCATCAGTCAGAGCCGAAAGTAGTAGATAATTAGGGAAACAATGCCAACTATTGCTGGGGTCCTCTATGACTCTCTGGAAGCCACATACGTATATGTTCACGTGCTACTTCTTACGAAGCTCACTGGATGATTAAAGAAAATTACCTAGGCCAGTGAACACTGTCCCTTGCAATGATGCATAACGAAAGGCTCAATCATCCCATACTGAAAAACGAAGCAATAGCACACAACCGCGCGTATTTCAAAAAGTGCATTCCTGGACATCAGTTGAACTGGATTTTACAAGGAAATACTTCCAAGCTAAGTTTGGATCCGTTCTCCGAACTCGGAGAACGAATCAAAACCCTAAGTACCAACCCGAGCTACGGGTATCTCGTATCATAGCAGACTTACAAGCTGTTTAACATCATAACATTAATGACTACGATCTATGCCCTTGATTCACGGCTGCTTATTCAGTCATCATAGAGGAAGATCAAGATAAAAGCTAAACCGTTCTTTCGGCTTCTCAAATTTACCGAATTTACGAAAATTTGCGGCTGTATCACCAGTGTTTTGTTTTCATTTTTTCCTCCACCTGGATACTCTATTCTGATTTTTAAAAGTAAGACGTTATTTTCATGCAGATGGCTTTGTTTATAGTCGACTGTTCATTTGTTTTGAGCATATTTGTATTTAGATGCAAATATGAACGTACATCGCTTATTTTGTGAATGTTATTTCATGAACGGTGTGTTCTTCGAAGCCGTTTACCTTTATTGAGATCTTTTACGTAACCGGCCGCACTGTTTGCTGTTCTGATGGCTGGTTGACCATGGAGCGGATCACACTCATCACCTGACTTAAAAACTTATTAGTATTCAAAGTGGACAGCAAAGACATGCACAAGATTAGTTTTGGGCATAAAACAAACCGGATGATGGGATATAGCATATTGCAATAGTTGGCCCGAATCAGCCAAATGATGTTTACAGGGTTAGATGTGTCTACCGACACTCGCCGACCGATTGAGAAGGTGGTCGGCGGGAATCAAATTCTTCAAATACAATCACATATCCATGATTCAAACTGGTCATCTCCTTCCCATTCGCACTAGTATGAACGCATAGAAGAAACCAAGGGCTTAACAAGTTGTATTTACCAACCGAACGAATATCGAGTAACGCAATCAGTACACTAACTAGATGGATGCTGTTATGGACACTAAAACGTTATCTATCTAACTGACTTCTGGTATTGGGTGAAAGCCTCGTCATCCTTATTATCTCATTTTTTACCAGGGCTTGGCGATAATTCAAGAAAAACGCAACCTCGTAGTACTCACGTGCAAATTTTTGACCCATAACTGACATGTTGCACAGAATAGACACGGAAATCGAAATATCGTTTCTTTCCTTCTTTTAATTCCGCTCATTAATGTAAGTGCCAACTAAAAATCAGCATGAACAAGAAATCCACTCGCTACAAAATGCTTTAAGCGTACTTATGTGTCATCTTAATGCAGCGTTTCTGTGGGTTCCACTTGTTATTACCGGACTGCGTTTAGTTGCTTCTCGTTATTGTATTCCTAAGCTACCTCTATCTTCGTATGTATCTGTTTGTTATTTGAATCATTATCGATTTGGTGTACCGTGGTCCGTTACCTCTCACGTCATGCCTTAGCGTCCCATTGAGGCCACCTGTATGTCGTTAGTTCTGCTCAACTCTCTTCCCCTTATATTATTTACACCAGCTTAGGTACTCAGTTTGAGACCTCTGTTTTCTTAATCCAGACAGAGTCCGAGCACACTGGTAGCCTGTGCTCAGTCTGGCTCTCAGTTGACCTAGAATCAACCATCAATGTTAATCATGCACTTCGATTTATCACTCAGTGTAATGATAACCGCGAACTTACAGCTAAGCGCCGTAAGTTAAGTAGGCAACAAGTATTACAATATGTGTTACGGAACTTAGTTGAAATCGTTGTATATGCGCTTCTTCCGATGACTACCGGCCGGCATGATACAGCCATTTCAAGCGGCATTTCCAGATGCTTGCTTGGTACTGGAGAAGATTCATTTGAACTGAACAGATAATAGAACATGCCTGCTCAATAAACCCCATAAGAACTAAACTCTATCGGTAGATCAATTTCTAATTTACTATGGAACGTTTGACTGAGAGTAGCAAGAAGTTGACGTGATCGGACTCCATAGACCGTCTGCACCTACCTATACCGCCTGACCTCACAGGGATGCAAAAGCTGTCGTGCGTACTCACAGAAATCCAGTTAGGGAACAGCTGAAAGGGGAATTTTCAACACCCACTGCGAAGTTATGACCATCCGCCTTTTTTGAAATGTACTTGGGTTTAAATACAAATCTTATATTTGTTGATGAAAATTGTCTGATAATCTAGAAATACTATAACACTTGTTTATTCTAATGGCTAAAAACTAGCGGAGCGAAACCATGTAGTTGATCTAAGCTTTGCATGTGTATACCGTGAACTTACGGAGATTTCGGATTACTTCGTTTGGAACGTTCTCAAGGAGATCCGATGCTCAATTTCACTAGGGACTTTACAAGTCTATTCTGCATGACATCAATCCTGATCAGTAGGAAGTGGTCAAACCATTGAGTGAAATTAAAAGATTTCACACTTTTCCGAGCATCTAGTTTTGTATGGAAGATAGTGAAGCATTGTGTTGACCCTCGTGACTGTCACAACTACACATTCCAATCGATATAAAGTGTCGCGCTCCACAGCCGCGCAGGGTAATTGTTCCGTTGTAACCGTAGGCATAAGCGAATCAGCTAACGGTATGAGTGAACCAAATCGATGAGAGTGAAACGAGCCTCTAAGCAATAACGAAAAGTCAGCTGCTCATGCTGGCTGCGCGATACTGATTGGAATGGTCATCAGCCTTTGTAAGTGCATAGACTACCTGAGTAATGCGGCCCAGAGTAGCGGAACACAAAAGGACACACGTATGCTCCATAGTTCTGATAAGGTTATTATGTAGCAGGTGTACAGACAGGAATTACTGCTGAATTCAGTTGGAGTTAATGGAATATTAGTGCCGGAAGGGCTGTACCCCTCGAAGGTATGTCTGCAGGGCAGTATTTCTCGGATGATTATTTGAACTTGACGATGATGTTGAAACACCCAGATGGCGGTTGTTGGTGGGTGTTAGTAAGGACTAGCACTTAAGAATGTACAGCGATCGTCTGGTAAGCATTCTCTATATTGGCTACCCCATTATCTGTGCGTACCATTCGGGAAACGGAGCTCAAAGTACGTTGGTGATCCCTGTATGAATTCATTAAGTTTCGATAGAATAATAATTAGCCACTTGTGTTGTGTTGGATGAAGCTTGGTGACAAAAGCAAGGTAAATATGGAAACATACTCCTCACCCTATTCAAGTGATAAGCCATTGCTATTCCAGGTAAACTGGATTAGTCTGCTTCCAGGTGAGTCATGTGTATTTTCGAAATGAACAAATTTCTTCTTCCCGAAAATTGATAGAACCCAGAGCTGAGGAGATGGAGCATTTAGCGGGCAAGTATTTCCACTTATCTTTGGTAAAATTGTGACTATCAGCTTTGTGTCAGAAAAATAATGAACGCTTCAACACATCAGCCAACGGAAAAATGTGACACAACTTGACTGAGACTAATCAAGCAAGTAAACGCTCAACAAGAAGCATAGCCGTTTACAAATTGCCATTCAAGGGAGCGGCGGCAGTGTTACAGGAAGTGGTGGGTTTTCGCATGTTAAGCGTTCTCCCTGTAAAAAGCCACGAATGTCGGCTCAACAACACTGCAAAGTGGCGAATGTGACTGGCAACCGAATAAAGTCACAGCCCATAACTTTACACCGGCAGTTCAACTAGCGTCACCATTCTTGATATGTTCGTTACACTGGCACTTCTTCATCTGCATATACCGTAGTCTCTTCTTTATACGATTTCACGCGTATACTGTCGTCTCTGTTCTTTCTACGACGTCACCTTTGATCTTGTGTTACGTACGCACGAACTTAGTATATTGTCACACCTCTCTTGATCTTACTCTTCAATTATTTTCTAATCGATCATTCAGGATTCTTGATCTATTTTTAGCTGAGGTATGACTGCCATATATGATAGACAGATTATATCCTTACAAACGGGTCCTGATCTCACGACGGTTCAATTATTATTTCACCTTTCCACCACTGTACAGTTCTAATCACGAACGTATGAACAATTTTCTGCTGTCACTGTTACAATTGCCATAAAATGTCTATACCGTTGAACCTATCTGATCTTGCCTCCATGGGTGGTCCTTGCATAGTCGAGAATAAAATATTTATTTATTTACTCTCACAATATCACGTCATAACAATAACAGCCATAAGAGAGAAAATGCACAATCACTGCAACTACATATTTTGCCAAACTTTCGACACTCGAGACGAGGGCGATTCTTAAGGCGGTAGAAGGCTCGTTTAGCTCGCCACCCAGCACTACAGCTGCCTCGAGGCGTACGAGTTACGACGACGCCCACCTTCACGCATGCCCTGGTTCGTTTCGAGGAAAGTGTGTTTACCATTTTTGTCTTCTCTGAACCTTGGTACTGCCTGCACCATACCTACGCCCAGGTTATTGGGGTGCATCTTTTGGCAGCAACATTAGTGAGCGTCCTCGCGGTATACTCAGCCCACGTGTGGCTGGTGGTGGTCGCGTGGCAGCGAAGCGCCTTTACGGCGTACAGCTTGCGATTAGTTTATTATTTTTATTATTTTAGTGGGCAAGGATTCGTTTTCGTCTAAATTCCGTACTATTTTCCCTACTACTTACCCTCGGCGTACTGCGAACATACTTAGGCTGTTCCAAGTTGAACGTTAAACCGGTCGCTAATGAATAAATCCTCACCAGTATACCCCACAGGTTATGAGAAATAGAGCAAACGTTTGTTGGACATGTCTCATTAGGACTTGTCGCAATTTACAGAGCCTTTTTCTTCCTAGAATCCACTGCCAATTTGTTGCGGGGTTTGTCGGTACCGGTCGGTAATTATGGGACCTAATCGGATGAATTTGACTTGTGCTTCTTGGTGGCACACATATTCATACTAAACTCTTTTGCTTGAAACCCGATAATGACCAACAAATGTTGTAGGTAGAAAATCGTCACATATAAACTCACTCAGAAAGCCTTTACAAGCCCTGAGAGAGCACTGTACACAAGTTTCATCTTTTCGGGAATCGTCAGAGGTGCGCATTCCATCGGACCCTGGTAGGGCTCGAACCCACAACTCGACTGTTGCCAGTCCGTGGTTAAGACCACTGAGCTACGGGGAAAGGCAACGACTATCATGAATGAGTTACTAGATGTGATATAGCGCCGCTCACTAGCCACTGACTTGCGAGTTACTGCCGTGCAGAGGACAGGGCAGCCCCCCAACCAAACGACGAACTTACCAAACTTACGCCGCCAATTAACTTATGGCATTAAAAGCGGTTTTGTCTGAGTACTGGTTACAGAGGAGGAGTAATAGGGGGAGTGAGTCTAGATGTGACGAATTTCTACCTATCCCATTCAATTTCCCCAAATATATATATATATATCTATATATCTATATATATATATATATGGTTGGCGGCATCCGGTTTGGGATTTGCCTGTCACTGTGGCCAGCCACAGGACGCCTGCGCCTACAGAGGGACCATGGGTGACTTGCGCTGCACCACCCACAGCTCCAACCACACACCCCATATGCAGTGTAAACCCGAAGGAATAAGACCGGGAGGCATGCGGATGGGAGCCACGTTTCATCAACGAAGCCGGCCCACACTCCTTCACAGGCAAACAAAAGCACACTGTATTTGGGGAATCAACCGCACACAAGGCGGTGGCTGGACCGTAGTCCGCTCCACACTGACTGCATGGAACCACTCTTCGAGGCTAGCACGGCCACAAGGACAGTGCACCCCGTCCCCTCCAGCAACGACCAACTGTCTCCTGGATTCAGTATGGACGAGGTAGTGGGTAATAGACAGGTAGGCACCTTGTCAACATGCACATCAAGCGCAGTCACACCGGGGATATCAAGCAACAGCCAATCACTTGAAACGACAAAATGAGATAAAATAAATCCAATAATGCATACAGATACGGTGGCATAACTCTTCGCTAAGTTAGCATATTAAGTAACTTGGTTAGCAATGAATCCGCGATAAGGAAAAAAGTCCACAAGTTACTCAAAAATGCTACAAACGCAACAAAATTACCGAAGATAAGCGCAATTAGCGGAAACAACGTGGCCAGCTAATAGAAGACAATTCAGATAGGCAAAACAAACCAAATAAACTGGAATGAAATTTATGCAGCTTAAAGAGACCTAGTTTAAGTGTAAGTTGGTTTAGCCCAACTGCGGTGAAGAAGCATCAAGAATGTACCATCAGCCTCAGTATGGGGCACACACACCTACATGGTTGGCGGCATCCGGTTTCAGATTTGCCTGTCACTGTGGCCAGCCACAGGACGCCTGCGCCTACAGAGGGACCATGGGTGACTTGCGCTGCACCACCCACAGCTCCAATCACGCACCCCATATGCAGTGTAAACCCGAAGGAATAAGACAAGGAGACATGTGGATGGGATCCACGTTTCATCAACGGAGCCGGCCCACACTCCTTCACAGGCGAACCACAAGCAAGCTGTATTTGGGAATAAATCACACACAAGGCGATGGTTGGACCGCACTCCGCTCCCCAGTGAGTGCATGTAACCACTCTTTGAGTGGTAACACGGCCGCGAAGACAGTGCACTCCGTACCCTCCAGCAACGACCAACTGTCTCCTGGAGCCAGTATGGACGAGGTAATGGGTGAAAACAGGTAGGCACCTTGTCAACATAAACATTAAGCGCAGCAACACCGGGGATAACAAGCAACGACAAGATGAAAGAAAATAAATCGGATAATGCATCCACATACAGAGACGTAACTTTTCACTAAATGGGCGTATAAAGAAATTAATTACGAACGAATCCGCGATAAGTTCAAGAGATCAGAAAAGATAGGTCAAGGAAATGCAACAGACGCAAAAATATTATCGAAATGAAATACAATTAGCTGCAACGACGTGTGCAAGTTCATAGAAGATAGTTCAGATAGACATTGATATGAGAAAGAAAAGCATTAGGACAAAATTGCAAACCCACCAACTGGAAAACCATAACATGCAAGCACGCGGTTAGTAAATCGGATGCAGCGTACCTACAAACGCTGCGCCGGTTCTGCCTACGTTCTCTGCAGGAATCGTCGTTGCTTCGGTGGAGGTCCCGAGTGACCTCGCTCATGGCTCACTAGGCCTACCTAACTCAGATACTCGGGACCGCTCGTGCTACAGCACTATGCGCTCGATGTCGATGGAGTACAACCCATGGATGCTTACCGCTCCTTCTCCGCATGCATGAGGTTTTTCTACTGCACTTCGGCAACTGCCTTCGTGATCAGATCGCGCCATGCAGGCCGATCAACCACCTTCGATTCCCATAACCTGCAATTAAGAGTAAAACGTGACAGGCTTACTGTGGTCATGTCCTGGTAACGTAACTTCGGTTTCCCCACATGCCGCTTCCCGACTCTCAGCTGACCATATAAGAGTTGTTTCAGTATCCACGTCTAATCCATACGCCACACATGACCAAGCGACCTCAGGTGTCTCAGTAAAAGTATGCAGTCCACTGCATACATGCCACTTCGG